AGAATTTAACTGAAAACAGGAGTCCAGTTTCCTGCTGCAATTGCTCTTGTGGGCTGGGCAGGGTAGAGAGGCAGCAGCTTCCACCACCCAGGGGGTTGACAGGAGAGGAATCATCTAGCAAGAACCATTAATTTAATTTGTTATTCCACTAATTCTTCTAATGTAAGTACAGTAAAATTTCATTCCTCTGAGAATGACAGTCTGCAGTTCGTGTATGTTAAATCATTAATGTCTTGCCTAAGAATTAATGAGGGAAGTATAGACACTGGCGGTGCTGGTAGAAAATCATGATAGTAGTTACCTCCTGCCAACCCAGTCTTACTGTTAAGTGATTATCTCTGATTCCTGATATATTTCTCAGCAAAAAAAGCTGAGTTGAGAGTATGGAGGAGGGGTGGGGTGTTTGTTTTATTTTATTGACTCAGTAAAACCTGCATTTGGGTGTTAATTAGTGCTTCCAAATTTTAGGAATTTGAAAGAAACTCATTTCACTGCATTCTTGTCTGAAGTCTTGATTGATGCCCAGCAGTGTTTGGGGGGCGGGGGGTGTTAATTTTTTTTATTTTTTTTTTTTTTTAAGTAGATGCCTCTACCCTCCAAGTAAACCAGGCTCCGAACTTGAGTACCACTGTTTGAAATTTTTTGATCTGAATTAAGCTATTGAAAAATAAGGCATTCTTGACTATGTAATAACATCTATGTTGACTGTCGTACTATTCAGAAAATTATTTTTGCTTATAGCTGAAATGGTGTTTGAAAATTCTTTTAAATCCATTTTGTTATTAACTAGATTTGCTCTTGACTAAAATGAGACTTTACTTGAAAATGGATTGTGCTCTCCCTATGCTTTTTCACAGACAAATTGAATGGACTAATGATCAGTTTAGCAGCTGGGTAAGGTCTTTTTTTTGTGCAAAGGGAAGTTCTTATACTATCAGATCCTATTTAATTTGAAAATCTAGTATTCAGATTTGATAGTTGTAGCCTGAATTGCAGTTAGTGTTGACCTTTATGTTTTAGTTCTTCATTTAAAAATATTTTCAGATCAAACTTGAGAGATTTTTCTTTCTGAACAGCTTTCACTGGTGTGCTGAGGTGTTGTACAAATACAAATCTTACAAATTTTCTTTTGTATCAGAGTAGATGCTTAGCCACTACATGTGCATCAGATGACCTTCTGTCTAAGAAAAGCAGCATTATAAAACAAGCATCAAGGAATTCATGGCCACGGAAATTTGTGTTCTGGGAGTCATAAGTCTTAAGTGTCCCCTACACACAAATCTGGCTCCTCTCTGGTCTTTAAAACCAATACAAAACTAAGCTAGCACATTTTGACATCCTAAGTATCTCAGTTTAATTGTTAACAGTGATAAGATTCATCTTCAGGATTTTTTTTCTTTTCTATTTTGTTTTTATCATTGAGTCTCCCAGGTGTGTGTATTGTACCTTTGCTAATTTTTGTCTTGTCTCTTGTCGATAGACTTCAGTATGCAGAATGTTGGGTGTTACAGTACAGTTGGCCACCACCAACTGCTATAAAACTGTTCAGTACATTGTAATTCCGTTTAATCTTGTTTAAATATTCTATAACTGGGCAAAGGTGCTGTATTTGAAGGGGGGAGGGAGGGTCAGAGATAGGTAGGGTAGTATTTCTTAATTTGCATACACTGTAGCACACAGTAGGGAACTCCTAGCATTTGTAGTACTAAATAAGTATGTACATAGCAAAATGTCTTTATTGTGTGCTTTGCAGAATATGTGCATACAGTTTGCACGTCCTGTTTTGGGGGGTAGGGTTTGTTTTAAGCAGTGTTTGCCTGGAGAGTGATATGCTTGCTGCTTAATCAAAGGATTAAAGTTTCAAAGAAATCTGTGTCTTCTATTTTTATGTACCTTGTAATGGTCTAATATGTTAGGGCCCTTATACTGTGATTCTCTTCTAAATTCATTTATATTTTTTTAAGAATTAGAAATAAAATTATACAATGGTGTTGATTTCAGTGGGAAATTTCTTTTGCCATATCTAGTCTCCTGTTTTGTAATGTAGTAATGAACTATGACTTCAAGGTTGGCTTAATTTTGTCACTTTAAAAAATGTAAAATGTTTGCACACTAAAGTTTGGCAGAGAACGTGTATTCTACATTGTTCAAAGCTAATGTAACTACAGCTTTTTGTACAGTTTATTTTAGTTAATAAAGCAAAACGGTACTAAAAAAATGACATTTTACAAATGAAGGCATAATCTGAACGACATGTATTCTAGGAACAACACTTGCAAAATATGGATGTACAAGAGCTATCAGATTTAATTGTTGCACTTTAAATCAGAATGGGTACGAAGTTGAGCAGATATTTCTGCATTTAATAAAACAATCACTAAACATTGCACATCATAGTAAAGCAGTTTAATTTGTTGATCGTGAGCAAAAGGAATTAGTTACTTTTGTCATTAGGTTTTTGTTCATCTTTATATCGTTGGGATTTTTCTTTGTTCTGGAAACCTCACAATTCATAGAGGACAAAACAAAAACCAGTATCTTATATGTGTGGGAGTTTGTGTATGGATAGAGTAGAATTGCAGAGTTTAGGCTGAAGGTTACTAAACTGTGTTGTGCCTCTATAGCAAAAGAAAGGAATAGACTGAATTTACAGCTGGTGCCAGACAGAAATGTGTGTGCTGTCAGACAAAAGCAAAGCCAAACATGAAATTGTTTGCTTAGAGATGTGTTTCAAAATGCAAAGGAAGTTGTAGAGAAGTCAGCCACTGTCACAGCTCCAGTGGAGAATAGTGCACTGTAAATGGTGCTGAAACAGCTGCGCAGTCTTGTTAAATGGGTTGAACCTACAGCTTTTCCTGAGGCTGAAGTAGCTAAATCTCAGTTTGCCTTTCTCAGAGTGAGTGAAAAGTGGGCATTGTTGCGATAGACATCTGCTTTAAGATCCTAGGTGCTTGTATGTGAGATAAAAACAAACATAGACTCCAGCACCAATTACACTCCATTACTGATGAATTAGGCATCAGGTAGGGAGGAGAAGCAGAATATATAGGAAACAGTACCTGGACTGTTCAATAAGCAACTGCCCCCTTTTTTAGAACAGACATCCTCAAAAATAATACTAAAATACAACTTGAGAAAAAAATTTGCTTCATTTTTCACCACTAGTGAAGACTGCTACTCTGCAGTTGCATCAATTCTTAAATCTTTTTCAGTACAGTTTTCTACACTCTAATAATTCTAGCAACACAGTAAATCCTCATTGCTGGTACTGACTTGGAAGTTTTCCCTTGGACTGGCACAAAAGGAAGCACTGAGGTTCAGGGAGTGTGATCTCTACTGCAGCTTCAAGGATGCGACTGTCATAATGCAGACCAGGCCTCCTCTAATACTCACTGAGTGATATCAGATGATCCTTTTGACAGATCCTTGTCACCACAAAGCACTGTTCTGGGAAATTGTCGTGTTCTGTAGTAGGAAGACCATGAGGGTGGCCAATGTCCATTTTGGGAATCTGATCCCATCACCAAGCTATTAATTTACATTTATAAATATTTAATTACAGAAACATAATACTCATTGTTCTGATGGATCTTCCTCTGAACCTCCCAGACAAGTAGTACCCAGAGTAATCAGGATATTCCTAAAAGCTTAAAAGAAAAAAAAAAAAGTCCTCAATTTTTGCAAGGAGGAGTGTATTAAGAGGTCTCTGTTGTAGTAATGCCTTTGCTGGATTCCCAGAGTCAACAATCCAGTGTGGACTGACTCCCTTGGGAGTGACAAGTCTGAATCATTGTAAGAAAAGAAGACTCTCTCTTGATACCATTTTATTAGTACTGTTTTTAGAGCTCCTCTGAAGACAGTTCAGCTATCAAGGCACAATTGTTTCTTTTTTTGTTAGCCTTAGTGCTTTTGTGCGTGTTCTAGTATAGTATTTTCCTTAGAGACTCTTTTTCCTAGAAGTGGTTTAATGTGAAAGGCAGAACAAAGTGCAGCAGCAGGTGACAGGGAGCAGGCGGCAAAGCCATTGCATCTGTATGGCTGTGTTGCCTTCGTTTGTAAGGAACCCTTTGGTATGTCTCGAGTCGTTAGCCAATAATACTGGCATGTGGTAATAGTAATATAGTAATAGCCAATAATAACTGGCACGGGGCACGTCCGTGTCCTTTGCCTATTTAGTACGGGCTTTGTTTCTCTGTTTCAGTCCCGCAGATGTCAATAATGAAGGAGTAACTAACTGCCTTCCAGGCAGGCAGGTGAGGTGTGAGCAGGGGGTGTTGCTATCCCCAAAGGCGGAGTGGACATGGCCTGCCGAGCCCCACCGCCGCGGGCTCGCGTCAGCTCCTCCTGGAAAACTAACTCCCTGGCCTGCGTGGGACTGCTCTCCCGACCGTATAAAATCTCTCAGGGCGTTCGGGAGGCTGCAGGGAGATGTGGTGAACCGGGTGCCGGGGGAGCCTTTCCCATCCGCGGGGGCCCGGAGGTCACGCCAGTTAAGGGTAAGCGGCGCTGCCGGTCCTGGGGAGGCGGGGGGGGCGCTGCTTCCTTCCCAGCCCGGGAGCACCGACAGCGCCTGGAGCGGGGCGGTGCCGCCACCGGGGTCTCCCCGCCCGGGGGTTGCCATGAAACCGAAAGCGGCTCCCCCCCGCAGGGGCGGCGAAAGGAGCGGGGGGCGGCGAAAGGAGCGGGAGGCGGTGGCAGGAGCGTTTTCTCGCCGCGCCCCCCGCCCGCCTCCGCCGCCGCGCACGAAGCCGCGCCCCGCGCAGCCGAGGCGGCCCCGCAGCGCCCGCACCGCCGGCAGCGGCGGCCCCGCGGCCCCGGCGCCGAGGGCAGCGACCGCCGGCACAGGTGCGGCTGGGGCGGGCGGGCCGGGTGTCCCGCCGGGGCAGGGGCGTGTCGGGGAGCGGGGCCGGGCCCGCGGGTGACAGCGGTGGGTGCCGGCCGGGGGCGGGCCCGGGGGCGCTGGTGGCGGTCGGCTGACGGTGGGCGACACCTTCCCGAAGTCCCTCTCCTGCCCCCGCGATGCAGAGGGAAGTCTGCGCGGGGCGTTTCTTTCTTGCGGCGCGTTTTCGCTTGGAAGGGCGGGCGGGGTGGCAAACCCGAAGTTGGCGCCCCGGGAGTTGTGCCTGGCGAGGCAGAACCCCTGTCCCCAGGCGCGGGGGGTTCCCCCTGCACGGGGCTGAGCCCAGCCCTGCCCGGCGGGCCGGGGCGGGCGGGCTGCGGGAGCGCCTCGCTCCCTTCGCGAAGGGATGTGCCACGGCCGCTGTCCCACGGGAATGCCGGAGGGAAAGGTAGGCCCGGTGCCCGCCCCGGAGCTTGGCAGGGCCGAAATTTTGGAGGCTGAAAGGGAAACAAATCAAGGACTGCTCGAGTGAATGAAGAATGCCTTTGCAGTGGCTCTGATCTTTTCAGATTGCAGGGAACTGTAACAAGCATCCCTGCTGGTGTCAACTGAATGCTGCTGGCGAGAGGGAATTTCCCCTCTATTCGTGTGTAGGGAGTCCTCTGATTTTCCCTGATCAACAGCACTCTGGGAGCATCTTGAGGCAGCAGGCTTTAACCATACACTTTCAACACTCTTCATATTTAGAAGGAAAAATAAGGAGCTCCTATTGTTGGCACTTCTTGAATTGCTCTGCCTGTTGTTAGCTTGGCTGCTCTTTCCCAGTGCCAGCCAAGAATAACTTTCCTCATAACTTCCGTTTTATAAATATGGGATGGCTGAAAGGAGTGCAATGATGCACTAAAAATAGCTGAGTGTATTCAGGTCAGGCCCAGGCTGGCAGCAGTAACACAGTTGTATTTTTAAACCACCGCAGCTGATTGCACACAGAGCACACAGGTTTAGTGATGAAGATAAAATTGATGCACTCTGGGATGTCCTTGTGCCTGAGCACCTGCCTGGCTGGTGTTGCACTTCATCTTGCTTCGTCGAAGGACTGGGTTGCATTGTTGCTTTTGAGCTTAGTGTGAGCCGTGGTGGTCGTGTGTTGCACTCAGCCTAAAACCACCCAGGGTAACTTCCTTTGCTGTTAGTCTTGATTATCTTATTTTATTTCTGTTGCGCAGAGGTGTTTGCTGTGGTTGAGAACCCCAGTGTGCCAGGAGCTGTGCGAGCAGAGGGTAAAACCACAGCCCTTGGCTGAAGGGAGTTTATAGTTCAAGTCAGGAGGGCAGTAGGAGACAGTGTGACCCTCTGGACCAGTGTGATAGTCAGAAGCCAGTTGTTTCCAGCTTCTTGGCAAAGGAAATCTTGGAAAAGTTGAAGTAGAATAGCTGGCTAATGTCCCTCAAAAAATCTGCCCTCCCAGCACACACTTGTTCAAATACATAACAAAGAGGCAGTGGAGCCTGTTGTCATCATTTGGCCAGAGATAAAACCAGTCCTTCTGTATCACTGGAGGGGTGCAGGGTCAAGTGGAGGGAGACTAGAATAGGCTTTGAAAGTGAAGAGGTTTCGGTGCAGTAGGAAAGTGGAGGGACAGTGAGAGACGTGATGCGGTTATAGCTGTGGCTTAGAAAAATGATCCCTGCGGCAACACCCAGGATGGGTAAATAAGTAAAACACTACATTTCAAGAGACATAAGTGTTTGGAAATGAGTATTTGTCCCATTCCTGGAAGTGTTCAAGGCCAGGCTGGATGGGACTTTGAATAGTCTGGTTTAGAGAAAGGTGTCCCTGCCCATGATTGGAAGGTTGGAACTAGGTGGTCTTTAAGTTCCCTTTCAGCCCACATGCTTGATTCTATGAAAAAACAGAGGATGATGGTGATGGACGAGTTTTATTTGTGTTAGTGGACAAGAAATACTGTATCATATAGAGATACAAAGCAGGAGAAGTTGATGGGATACTGTGAAGGTCTAATGCTTGAAGCCTGAGAGGGAGAGGATGGTTCTGGAGCTGAGTGGATTACATGCTGGTTGTGTCATATTGGGGCACAGGGGCTGTGCAGAAGAAGGCCTGTGGGGGGAAGGTTGAGGAGAGCATGCCACCTACCTCCAGGCTGGTAGTCATCCACAGCCCGGATATCAAAGGAGAGGCTGAGAGTTCAGCCTATGCAGGAAGATGGTCTGTGGCGATAGGGCACATCTGTGAGTAGCTGTCAGGAAACTTTAGCTGAAGAGGTATAAGCTGCTGAAAGATAAGATTCAGAGTAACATCCTGAAGGATGAAAGAAGTTTGTAGTGCTCACAGAAACTTTGGGGGGTATGGGAGTAGTTATACAGCTTTGAGAGTGTAAGGAATGGCATCCAGGAGGGGAAGTGCTTTGAGAGGGTAAGGAATGATATCCAGGAGACGACAACATTTTAAAGCTAGAAAGCTGCTGTTGAAGACTTTGAAAAGAATTTCAAATAAGTGCAGATAGCAGAAACCAGACAGTTCTTTATTTCACCACACAGGCTCCCTAATCAGGTACCCTAAAACAGGGGCACAGTTCTTACACAGCTGTCAAAGCTATGGGATAGGTCAGGAGCTTTTTGTTCTGTGCCGGATATTGCTTCAGTCACTTTGCCAAATCCCGTCAGTGGGCAGCTGCAGACTTGTAGTTGCTTCATCCCCTGGACTTTATTTGTGTCCCACCTTTGAGCTTTCCTATAGCTCTCTATCTTCTTCAGTTCTTTGTCTGACCCTTTGATTTTGCATAAATAGACATCATTTATCATCAATTATTATCTGGCTGTGGAAAGGCAGATATTATCTGGCCCTTCAGGCAGTTTGTATGAGTTGTAACTTTTCTTAGTCTCCTGATCCTTTTGAGGCAGTTGATGGGGAAAAACTGTGGAGGGTTAATAATCACGCTGTTTGTCGTCAGTCCCTTATCTATACCAGTTTAGGCTGCGATGTGCAATTGTTCCACTCTCTTCCCTCAGCCCAGGAAAGAAGCTAACCTCTTTACCCTGGTGTGTAAAAGTGAAGAAACTTGAGTCATGCTGTATTGTTAATAAAAATGTTGCAAAAATTTCCGCAGTCTCCTCAGCTCAATCTTGCAGCAAATACACAAGTGTGTGAGAAATTGTCTGCACCCTAAACCACGGTGGTTTTGATATGGGACTGCCCAGAGTGCTCTGTAGTTAAGCATGTTTGTCTCCGGGAGTGGGACTGATAAAGCAAGTTTTTGTGTGTAATATACTGACGTTTTGCATACAGGGACTCTCTAAGGGTAAGTATGTTACTGTGAACATACGGTAGCAACACTGCAGAAGATGATGGTTCTCAGTCTTATCTCCTATATCCATGTGCTTGAAACTGGAATGTGGCTCTTTATAACTAAGAAAGAAAAAATCAAGGGTTTCGTTTCTCAATATTGTCTTAGAGAGAGCAGTTACAAACAGTTGTCAGATCACATATCCAATGAAAGATATTATGAAAGGCTACTGGACGCTCTTTGTAAAGAAAATAAAGCTTGTGCATTTGTCTTTTTCACTGTCATTGTCATTAAACCTCGTGTCATGGCAGTTTTTCACTCAGGAGTTTTGAACTTGGACCTTGATGATGCCTAAGATGCACCTTAATGTCCCTAGAAACAGCAATGTTGTTCACTGCTGGAAGCAATAAAGCTAGAACTGGTGCGGGGTTGGATGCTGCTCACAGCATGTTCAGCAGCCCTCTTCGTGGCATCTTGCCTGATACCAAAAGGGATGGTTCTGTCTTCCATCCCTCTCAGCAGGTCCATGTGGCATGCTCCAGCATTCATCCAGGCCTATGGCAGTGCTGGGGCTTGCTGTGCCACTGCCTGGCTGAGACAGTGTGCATGGGTAGGCTTTCCAGTGCTGATTGCATTTAGAGAAGGGGCCACATGAAAGCACTGCTCCTGGTTCTTACCTCTGTAAATCTGTCCTAATGGGAAGGACTTCTTAAGACCACATCCTTTCTCCTGATTTTTTTTGTTTGTTTGTTCTTTTAGAAAAGAAAATGGTGGCAATCTTTTGCTCTCACTGCTTTCCCAACAGGAAGTTCAGGGGGTCCCCGACTGCATTTGGATTTTGATGTTAGCAGTTATGTTTTCAGTGATGACTGTGACTAGAAAAATGTGTGTCTGTATGTCATCAGACGTGTGTGCGTTAGAACAAAATTTAAGCTCATCCTGGTAATTCGAATGAATAACCATTGAGTTGATTCATAGATTTCTGTATAGATACTGGTGAAGTTCTTTATTAAGACTGAGTCAAAGGGTCAGGGTGTGGAAAATTAAAACCAAGAATCAGTTAAGCCTAGCGAATCTCTTCATGGCCAAACCAACTGAAGTCCTGGATAGTGTGTCCCCATGGGGCCGAGAAAGAGACATGGGCTTCAAAGCCTCAAAGACTTAGTTCTGCAAAATGTGTAATGAACTATTGTTTGTTAGGAAAAGTGAGGACTCACTTTGGCTTCAATGCAACAAAAGATAAAAAATTAAAACCTCTTAGGTGTCTTGTTCTCCATCTGTTCCTGTTACTTTTTTTCAGTAACTTTTGTTTATTATTTTGTTCTTATGTCTCTTCCTTCATTCACTTTCCTAAATGCTGTTACTGTCTGTCTTTTCACTCAACTTCATCCCCTTGAATCTGCTTGAAACTTGGTCAGGGTTTCAGCACTGAAGTTGGCGTTGGACTGATTGCAAACAATAACACTGGCCTGTTGCTCTCTACTCATCTGCAGACAGATTGTTTAAAATTAAGATCCTGTTCCCACTCAACTTCTCCATTTGGGGTTTTCCCCAAAGCTTCCCAGAAGCAGATGGTGCTTCCTGGAGCTGTGCTTACAGAGCATTACACTTTATGCAGCGCTGTCTCCTCCTGACAAAACCAGGCGGATGTGTCCTTCCCTCAGAGCTGCCAGGTTCAAAGAAAGCCCATGTACAAGCTGTTGTGCTGTTCTGATGTCAGCCTGGTCCAAGATGGTGTACAGTCTACAGCTTCACCAGGAAGCACTCTGAGGACAGGTTCATGGCAAGGATGAAAGGATACCTTCTGGTATAAAAAGCTTGACTGTAGAAGTGAGCTTAGGCTGCGCTTAGAAATGCATCTTGGATCAATTGATTTGGTCCCGTAATGAAGCAGCATGCCTGCAAGTTCATGCCTTTCCTTTTCCCACTGACTTCATGATGCAATGACTAGTCTGTTCCAGAGCTTCAAGGAAGATTCATGAGAACATGCAGGAGGTTGAGATACCTCTTGGGAGGGCAGATGGAAATTGAAATAGGTTAGAAATGCTCTGGGAGCAAGCTTAGTTAAAGGGAAAAGGCTAAAGAGGGTATATGTTACATTTATTACAAGACAGAAGCTTTCTTTGAAAATTAGTATTTTATATAACAAGAGACTTAAAAATTATTGCTTTTATAGAAAATAAGATACTTTATTTTAGGGGATGAAGAAAAAAAAGCCAAGAGACCAGAAAGCAAGGGGAGGGGGCAGAGAAGGAAAAAGAAAGAGTGGGGGAAGAGATGGAGTCACTGGCACTGCTGCAAGGGCAGCACGTTTTTGGCTGGCAAGGGAAGCTGATGCACAATCAGTGGAGATGAAGGCTGCCCAGAATCCTGTGTGCATGATTAAGTTCTGCCTACAAAATCATTAGGGTTTATGGTCACTTAAATTATTACAAACCAAAATATAAATGTTTATTTTCTTAAAATGGATTTTATTTCAGTTTGAGGGTTCCGTTTAAATGTGACATGCCTGTGCAGCCAGTAGCATGAGCTGATGTGACTGAGCCAGTGCTGTTTCCTCCATGAGCTGATGCTTCACTTCCTGCAGCGAGTGGGTTCACTTGGGCCTGCCAAGGCTGCCTTGGAGGGATAAAAAGGGTTGGACCTGGGTTTTCCATATGTCCTTATGTGCTTCCTGCTGCCCATGTATTTTTTTTTTTGTCACATCAATAACCACTTTTGTGAAAGGTAAAAAATATTCTGTATCATTGATTAAAAACTGTGAGAAACATCCTTGGTAACCTTGCGTTGCTCCAGATGGTAAATTCTGCAGTCCCTTCATCATTTCAGTAAGGCAAAATACTTTTCAGTGGCTCGCCTTTTATCCTAACACTTCTAAAACATTTTTATACATGATCTTTTTCAAAGGTACTCTGGGGGATTTCCACTCCCTTGCTGTTTTAAAATGCTCATACTCTTGTGTTAACCACAAAGCTTACGCTGGTGCACTCTGTCTCTCTTTCTCTCTCTCTCTCATTTTCTCCCCATTGAGGACCAGCTACCATTTCCAGGTAAGGCTTTACCAGAACGTGTCTTGTTAATGCTGGCAGGATCTTACCATTGCTAGAATTATTTCTCATTTCTGAAGGGCTCTTCAGGGGTACACTGTGGCACACAGGGGTGTGAGTGGCACAGGGCTGTGCTGGGGGAAGGCTGCAGACCCCAAAACATCTCAGAAACTGCATTCACCCCTGAACCAGCAAAGTGGTGCCACAGTGTCATAGGGGTGAGTGGCAGAGCCTTGTTGCTGAAATTTCTGTTGTTGCTTGGGAACGTGCAAGCCAGGGATTGCTACAGAAGTGATGGGAACAAAGTTATTTTCCAGCTATGAGTGTGATTATTTTAAGGCAAAAGTTCTCTGTATTACTGTAACAATATTGTGTTGGTTAGACATAGAGAGATAATGCAAAATTAATTCATTATTTTTAGAACATCCAGGGAAAACAGTAGATGTAGCAAATAAATAAACTGGTTGTAAAATCAGAGCTGCTTCAGCACCAGACAGACTTCATTGGTTGTAAGAGGGTATTTTTTAATTTTTTTTTTATGCTATCTGTGTTGTAATCTGTGTCTTAAAAACTTGCTGATGTCTAGTCTTACGGGAATTCATTGTAATGCTTGACTGTACCTCTACGCAAAGGAAACCCTACCGTCTTACTCTGCTTAGTGAAAATTTGCCTATGGAGATTAGCAAACTGATGCTTGCTTAGTAAGATTTTACTGTGCCTTGACAATAAGGTAATACTGGAATTTGGATAGGATAGTATTGTCTATATCCAAAAGAAAAGGTTTGTTCTGCTGTCCTTTGCAGCAACATCCCCTGTAGGTGCTCAGGCACATATCCAATAGGAAATTGTTGCTATTAGAAATATTCTGTCCTGGGTACCAGCTGGTCACTGCACTGCAGTTTTGAAGTGGTTAGGATAACAGGAGAGCAGCTCCTGAGGCTGACTTAGTGCCAGGTGAAGTGGGAGTAAGCCCTGAGTATCAGCAGTGGGTCTGTGTTGGTGCAGTAGGGGATCCTTTCCCTCCGCAGCCTCTGTACTGGGGTGACACACGTCATGCAGCTGGGGTTCTTCTCCCCCATGGGGACTCTGCAATTTTGTTTTGTTGTCAGCAGTCAAAATGTTGTATCTCTTCTGGGTTGGAAGGGACAAGGATGATCCCTCAGTGATGTCAGATGTCATAATCTGCTGTTTTCACATGACTCCATATAATTTGCTATATCTTAAATATGTATCTCAAACTGTATAGATATTTTTAGCCATTCTTTAGCAGACTCTGTTACCTCTTCCACTCTGTATGTTAAGAGTTGGGGCATATATTTCTTGTCCCCAAAATACAGAGAAGGCATTATAGTAAATAGTAAATCATACAACTTTGTTATTTTAATTAAAAAATATGGAGGTAGCTACTCTACCTAGCTTATAAGGCAGCTTGGACAGGGTCATTTTAGTGCAAGGTGTGTTCCCGTCCATCATGTTTCTGCCTGTCAGCTCCCAATGAAGTGACTTGATCTTAGACCTCTAAATTTGACAAACTTTTCCCACTGTGACTAAGACAGGCTTCCAGTTCTGATGTACCATAAAAGGTACATAATTTGAGAGAGAGGGACAGGGCATCTTTTAAGACTTGTCCCTGCCAGGTGCCTTAGGGCAAAGCAATAGAGCTGAAGTAGAGCTATAGGAACATAGGTGTATAACTTTTTTTCTATTCCCTGTTGTATGTATTTCATGGAAGCATGGTAAGTGAAAAAGTAATCACAGTGCTTTTTATTGAGCAATACCCCAATCCTGGAGAGTTGCTGAACATTGCCTTCCCCTCATGCAGTGAACATAGCAGAAGCCATGCTCTCAGCCCCCATTTGCTGGGCAGCAGGACCAAGGATCCTGTCGTCTAGTCCACGCATGGTGACCAAATCTCTGATAACAACGCAGATATTTGCCCTTCTCAGTCTAAAAGGCATGGGTGGCACCCAGTGCCTGTGCCTCAGGTCTGCTGTCCTGGAAGTTTTGGTGCTGCAGCCTGCCGTAATGGTGCACTCGTAGCTCATATGTGCTGATCTTTCAGGGGGGTTTGGCTTCATGTGAGAGGAAACAGGAGAAAAATACTCTCTTTAAGAAGAGCACCCACATTATAGGCAATGTTTAATCTGTGTGCAGAAAGTATATTTTTGTGACTAAAAGAAGTTAATCTGTCCACAATAGTTCAATGGGACATCAGGTTTGTATATGGCCTTTGTCCATTCTGACTACTGGTGCCATAGATAGGCAGCAGCACTGCTGGAGGGGAGCTGTTTGAACATGGCTTTAAAATGTTAATGCCATTTTATATCCTAGTAAGTCATGCCCATACTGATTTTTCTCCTTATTATTATGTTGTACTCATGTCTTGCTCAGTTTCTGAACAGTTAGAAATACTAAGTGGGGTGTATTTTAATGGAAAGTGTTTGGGCTCAATTTGGTGTGGTGGTAGTTAAAATAGGATAGCCCACATTTAGTAAAGTTTATTTTTGTTATGAAAATTCTCCTCCTTGGATTACTTCCAATGAAGTTCAAGCATCTGTGTATAAAGAGTTGTTCCAGAACCATTTTGCTTGCGCAGCTATTGGTGCAGGCCAGGGCTGGGATGCTGAAGTGGTAGGAAGGTGCAGCTGGGAGCTTTTTGTGCTGTGCTGCCATTGAGCTCCCACTCACTGGTAGCTGTTTATAGGACTTGGGGTTAGTTTTTAGTGAGTCATACTGCTTTTTTTTATGTGTGGCCAGAATTAATTCTATTTATTTCAGTATATGGAAATCCAGGTTTTTTAATGTGTAGATTTTCAGTCTCCATAAACTGGGGGGTTTTTTGTGTGCGTGCTGTTGCAGTGGAGGTGCAGTGAAAATCCCTTTACTGCATGCACTGTGTGTCTGCCACAAGAGCATCATTATACAGCATAAACCCGCCTCTCTCTGCTATTTTAAAACAGCATTATGGTTCACACGTGTGCTGAAAAATCTGAGAGTACGCAAAGACAGGACACCTTCCCCTTGCTGTGAGCAGGCAGAAGTGAAAGCGTCCCTCATCCCCTACCTACACTGGCCAGGCATCAGCGTAAGCAGGAAATTGATTCAGATAACCCTGGCGTGCTCTCACTGTCACCGAAAAGCACTTTTTCCCCTGACGGTTTCCCTTTGGTTTCAGTACAGAGGGCCCAGGTGCTGGAAGCCAAAAGTGGAAGAAGAGCTTCTGTGACCCGCCCGAGTCACTGGTGAGCACTGGGATGGGAATTACTTGCTGCCTGTGATGGTTTGGATCACATCCCGCCGAGCGCTGGCTGGCACTAGGTCTGGCTGCTGTTTCTCAGCTCCTCTCCCCAGCTGATTCATACAGGCACCTCTCCAGCTTGGGCAAAGCATTGCCATCCACAGGCCCTCTCCTGGGGCAGCCCATTTCCTCCAGCAAAACAGCTGCAAACCCTGCAGCAAACCTTCTGCAAGGCTGTCAGCAGTGGCAAACATCCCTGCTGGGCACCCAGAGGTTTGCGTTCTGCCCTCTTAGCAGGCAGGATCACCTTTCACCTGAAATGCTCTTTCCTGTGCCCTGAGCTGCCCTTAGCTGTGCAGTGCAGTCCTGAGTGAGGCTGAGGTGGAGGAGGTTCTTTCACGGAGGGTCTCCATTTTTTGGGTTGGGTGCATTATGAAAGTGTTTAAGGAGATAAAGGCTCTCATTTCAACAAGAGAATTGGAAGGTGTTGTACCACAGCAGAGTGTTCCTTGCAGAAAGAGATGGGAATGATTTTGGTTGATTTAATGAACAGTGAGAGCTCTGAAGGAGTTTCTAGATAGGATTTTGGACTGGTGACTATGTTTCTTCTTAATGTGTCCCATAACTTTTTTGCCTAAAGCATCTGTTCACTGCAGCTGGAAGAAATTCTGGAGTTAAGGAAGACCTTTAACAGCAAAATGGATAAAACATTGATTTTTTTTTTTATGTGTGTTTTTAGACTGTGTGGCATTAGCTTGCTAAACCATGCCATCAGATGATGTAAGTAATGGAGTGTAATAGGACTCAGGAAAGTGGATGCCATGTAAATGGGAGAGAGCACTAATAAGAAAAAGGAAGGAAAATTGTTTCAGGGTTCTCACCTGCTGACAAGAGAATGAGTTCTTAGGCAGTTCATCCTGTAGGTAATCTGTGCTGTGGAAATTGATGGTGGCAGCTCTCCATCTGCCTCTGAAGCAGCAGGCATGCTCTGCTGCTGGCATCTGCTACAGAGGCAGCCCAGGCATGAGGGTGGTAATCCCTCAGGCTGCATTTTGGCATCTCTGGTTGACGTGAAGAAATTAGAATTGGTCCTTATTAAATGTCAGGGAACTGGGACCCCCATTTTCAGAGAAGAAAAGGTCAGCTGTTTAAAAATGAAAGGACCAAATGGGCAACCATCTCTAGTCTGAAGCAGGAGGCTGTTCATGTGGAGGGACCAAACAGGGTAATTTGCAAACTCCAGTTGGAATAATAAGTCTTTATGCCTGAAATATGATTAAGGTTCATATTCCTGAGGGCTGTCGATGTTGGGTGATCAGTTGTACTGCAGTATGTCAGACATTCAGCCTGGTGGATAACAGGGAGACCCTCACAAGCTGGGAAGGTAAATACCGAGTACAACCATGAACAAGGGTGCTGAGTTACAGGAGCACTCAAATGTTTGCTGTGGAATACATTTTAGTTGTTTAAGTGCTTTGGCTTGTTTTTTGTTCAGGTACACTAACTGTCCACAGGAATTCCTTGCCCAGTGTGGGTTGTTAAAATAGAAAGGAAAATGGATGTTGCTTTCTGAAGCCTGATGTGGTCTGTGGCAGTGCTGCACTGTGCATAGCGCAGCACTAGTCACTGCTTTCATGGGCCAGGAACACACTGCAGCAGAGAGGCAGGGCAGTGTGTCTGTACTTGCCATATTATTTCATGCCAGCCAAAAGGTTGGTGGTGTGTTGGCCCTGCTTCGCTCCGAAGGCAGCAGATACCCTCAGTGACCTTACAGCAGCTGAGTGAGAGCTCTCAGAGAGGTGCTGAAGCTAGTAAGAGTGACTTGAGTGTCTGACAGGGTGGGTGGTGCGCACAGAGGAGAGATAGCGTCCCGTGGCACCGCTATAAAATTGAGCACTTCTCCTGTGAAACAGTCTGAGAGCTCAGGTGTTGTGCTTTTGTGTGCATCCTGTAAGGAAAATGTCTTCTGAGTGCAAAGCTACAAGAAATGGAAACCAGAGTGGCTCTAGGTCTTGAGCTACTTGCAAAAAAACTACTGTGAGATTAAGGGACTGGTGACAAAGGTCTCGAGGTTTGTGTCTTAAGGCTGGAAAAAAATGTTGATAGTTTTTCCTACTGGGAAATTGCATTCCTGTGCCACGTATGAACATCAGTAGGTTGAAAGAAAAACTTACGTCACACCTCTGATTGCAATCTCACTTTTCTTTCTTTTTTTTCCACCACTTCTTGCAGACAGGATTAATATAGCCAAGGACTTGCACATAATTTAATAAAACTTTGGAAAAGTAGGAGTTTCCTGCTATAAATGAGAGATCAACAGAAAAAAGAAAGATGTCAAGTTAAGAGGCTTCAACTCCTGCAACACCTAAACTGAAGGTAAAATCCCCTTGCTGCCTATTTTTTGTATGCTCCTTGCTGTGAACCACAAAGCCACCTCCTGTTTGAAGCAGTGCAATGAACTTGTGAAGTCATGTGGGTGGGCTCTACCTTAAGTGTAGACTTTCCTGGTGAACATTAGGGCAAAGACTAGGCCTCTGCTTTCCCCAACCGTGTCTGACTACTGACTCTTGTAGTTTTTTCCAGACTAAGAACTGCTGCAAGAAAATATTAAAAAAAACCCACAAACATAAAGATCTCTGTTTACAGATTGTGATACTCTTTTCCAAAGGAGTGTGCTTTGATGCTTGTCATGTAATTATCATTTTGCAGTTCTCTGAGCATTTTGTTGTTCTTCCATAGCTGGTGCCGTGTTTCCCTCTGGAATCTGTCTCACCCCTCTCCAGATGCCAGCCCTCCCGCGAGCGGCACCCTGCTGCAAGCAGTAGCTGATGCAGCGTGGCTACCAGTGAGTATTTGAAGAGATTCCCCCTGTGTCTGGTTCCCAGTGCAGCTCCCATGGCCTATGACGAACCCACTGCTCTCTCGGGCATCTTCACACGCCAGAACTCTACCAGCACCACCTCTCTGGACTTTGAGCCTGACGCCGACTACAAGTTTGTTGAAACCTTAGAGGATCGGTACAAGTGTGCCTACTGCCACCTCGTCCTTCACAACCCCCACCAGACAGGATGTGGGCACCGATTTTGCCAGCAGTGCATTCTTTCTTTGAGGTGAGTGCAAACTCCTCCTGTGTTCGCAAACTCCCCGTATTCCCTTTCCTAAAAAAAAAATTCAGCGTCTTCTATGAATCAGCAGTGAGTGCCATAATAGTATTATTACTGCTCCAGTAAGACACTGAAGGAGTCAATGGAAAGACTCTGATGAACTCAATGACTGCATGCTCAGTGTTTTATAGGTGTCCTTAAAGACCATACCCAGTGCTGGTGAACCACAGGGAAGTCAACATTAAGAAATTGTTATGTAATCTGGAGCACTACTGTGTGAGATGCTGTTTCAGTCTGTCTGTCTGGCATGGTGCTCTGCAGAGAATTTGGTTTTGGTGATGTCTCACAGTATTGGCACTGGTGGTTAGATTAAGCGGTGTTCACTTTCTTCTGTGAAATTTCTATGGAAATTTTTTTTTAGTGGAGTTATAAAATTGTTGTTAGTATTACCTGATACTGCAGTCAGATCACAAGGCTGCTGGCATCTGCTTGGGAATTATCTGCTACAAATGACTCTACCCCACAGACCTGTCTGGGAATACATTATGTACTGTTTGCTGTTCCTGAGGGCAAGATTTCTCCCGGCAAGGCTGCAGAGGAGCCTCTTTATGTGGATGGATGTCGCTAGTTACCTTTTGTGAATTTTAGATGCTTCATATTTGCTGCTTTCTCTCTGGGTTGCATCCCTTTTGTACTGCCTCAATAAGTGTTTTCCTGCCCCTTATTATGGGATTTCTCAAAGCCTTTTAAGGCAGCAGCCATTAGATCTTTCACTGGTGTAGCAAGGAGGGCACTGCTTCTGCTAGGCAAAGGCTAGGTTTAATACACAATGGGATTTTTTGAGATACAACATTTGAGAGCAGCAGATGGCCAGAGAGTGACAAAGTCCTCTTAATTTAAAACCATCTTATGGTTTTTACCATTTAGCATTCATAGGACAAACTCTGTTTTCTGTTACACATTCACATTCAGATTAATGCCCTCGTAGAACTCTGGCCAGAATTTGGCTATGTGGTTGCCAGATGAAAGTGGATTCGGAGCACTTTTTTTGTTTTTATGGTATCTGGTATCATATGACTTATGTCAGAGTCAGATTACAGCATAGCCCAATTTCATAAAATAAATAAAATTTTCTATGAGTTAATATGACTCTTCTTATGTTCTAGGGAGTTAAATGCAGTACCCACCTGTCCTGTCGACAAAGAAACAATAAAAATGCACGAGGTAAGTGACCTTAGCTTTACTTCAGCAGGCAACATCTGCATGGAAAAGGCAAGAGTGCTGAGAACAAGGTGGCTCTTAGTCCTCAGGGCAGAGCAGGTTTTTGTCTCTGAAATGATGCTAAGGGAAATAGTGTACTCAGTGATGCTCTCCCGGAAAGGAAGTATGACTGTATACATAAAGATTTATTTTTATACCTCTCTGAAGTTATTTCATTTTAGTCTTCTCTATTTTCAGTAAAGTGTCAAAGAGTTTCAAAAAGTTCTAAATCTTCCCTAGTCATCAGATTTTTTTTTTTTTAGTGGAGAGTTTATTGACTTACTTTTTAATGCCCCATCTTGCTGGGTTATCTTGTTTATTTAGTTGTCTTTGCTTTCACTTGGCTATAACTTGCTCCTTAACTATCTCCATTAGATCTCATTAACCCTGCAGACTTAATTTACTTTTGGGTGACTTTCAGAAGAAAAGATAAATTCATCTGTTTTATTTTACAAATTACTGTTGGTTTTGGTTGTTTTGTTTGGGTTTTATTTGTTTGTTGTGTTTTCTGGTGTTCTGTTTGGTTGGTTTTTGTTTTGTTTTGGGGGTTTTTTTGTAATGGATTAATTTGTTCTTATTTATATGCCAAGGCTTAAAAGTATACTACTTTTAAGTATACTTAAAAGTATACATACTTGATCATGTCAGAATGAATTTTGTAGTGAAATCAAATGTCTGCTTCCTCTCTGTTGTACTCCTGAAAGGAAGCTGTAATCAGACTGTCCATGTGATTTTTGTTTTTCCTTTGCCGCCTTCTACTTTGTACAAATTTTGATGACAACAGTGCAACATTTACAGTGCTCCTTACAGGAAGAGCTCTAAATAAGACTTAAAGTTTGCTCCAGGGGCTTAATTTGCTTCTGCACACACAACTGAGTACAGTAGAAAGGATGTTTCGGCATCATCTCCATCCCAAAGGCACGCTGCACTGCTTGAACATTGTGGAGTGTGCACAGAGCTGGATGGCCTTTGGGGCCTGTTAGCTCCAGCTGCTTTCTTCTAGGTACAGGCAGGCTTTGACAGTGGTTATATAGCTCCTGTGCTACTAGTCCTGCTGGCTGTGGGATGGATCAGCATCTGTGGAATAACTATATGGGGAGAAAGGCCTGTGCTTATTAGAAATTCATTTATGGTTTTATTTATATTTATACTATAAATTTTCAATATGAATTATCAAGAGCCATACTCACAATTATGGAGTCTACACTTGCATGCTTAGGAGATCTGTAGTGATATTTTGCTCTTTTATATTATTCATAACATCCTATGTGGCTGCATATGAAAGCTGGTTTGCTTCCTTTACAGGTATTCAAAGACAACTGCTGTAAGAGAGAAGTTCTCAATTTGCATGTGTTCTGCAAAAACTTTCCTGACTGCAATTCAAAAATAATTCTGGGACGATATCAGGTTAGTTTGCTTGATCAGATTTTTAAGCCTTTGATTTTCATGACAATTCTGTGTATTTATGATCAGCTAAATCCCAGTCATTGTCTTCAGAGTTATTGTAGCAATTTGGTTTAAGTACAAAAATTATGACTTAGCTATACACCATAAGTAACAAATATTATGGCTGTTACCTTGTTCAGCTTGGCCTTTGGTTATTTTTTTTTAATAAGAACCATTTGCTTTATGTAGTTTTAGTATATCTAGTATTATTATGTAGTTTTAGTATATCCAGTGTCTGTACATATTCTGTATGCTTAGGTACCATATGTTGATTCAAGGAAACTTGCCAAGTCATACTGGCCATTTGGGCCTTTTTTTGGTGTATCAATTGAATGAAAAGTGAAAGTCATACAAAGGACTCTGCCAGCTGTTTCTGTGGGTCTGCTGGGTAAACTGAGATGCAATGAAATACTTTGGGGTTTAATTTGCTGTTGTGTGTTGCAGGAGCATCTTCAGCAGTGTTTGTTTGAAAGCATGCAATGCACTAATGATGGATGTTGTGATCAAATTCTTCGGAAAGACATGAAAGAACACTTGAGCCAGCACTGTAAATTTCGAGAAGAAATGTGTCAGTACTGTAATACATATGTGGTGTTCATTAACATAAAGGTAAGGTTATGAAGCATTCCCTGGGAATCCCTAGTATGTGTTTCCTCTTGATGTTACTGAGTGAAAAGTCTCCAGCATTGCAATGGTACTTAACAACTCCTGAAACAAAATTTGGTTGAGTAGCTGAAGGAGAAAGTATAATAAATATGCTTTAAATAATACCAATTATTGATGCTCTCTTATGAACAACAAGGTGATATGTGGCTTGCACGTGTATGTTTGGGATTACTTTTTGCATAACTTCCTCTATATGTACTACTTCACAAAAAATTCAAACCATTGCCTTGTTCTGTTTCTTTTTCCCCAGAATCATGAAAAAGATGACTGTCCTAATTATCCTGTGCCTTGTCTCCAAAATTGTTCACAAATAATTCTGAAAAAAGAGGTACTATTATTTTTTCATATACTGCAATTCAGCAGATCACATGCATTTATGAAAACTGAAAGCTGCATTGCAGACCACATTGGCCCAAGCCAATAAAATTTCACTGCTCTAAGTATTTTCTTTGTTTGATTCTAAAAGGGATATATCTCCCATCTTTTTAAGTGTGTTATTTGGTCACTGTAAACCATTGATGTTTTGTAGTATGGAAAAATACCTATCTTGCTTATTGACTCTGAACACTCGTTTTCCTGTTTAAGTGGTTTGCAGTTGTCATGACAGTGGCCTTTATTCACCCCTGATGCAGGCTTTCAGATTTTATAAGTGCATCAAATGACTTAATATTCATTTCATTCCAAACTTCTGTGTTAATACATGCAGATTGACAAGCACCAGGCTGTGTGCCCTGAGGCAGAAGTGGACTGCCCGTATAAGCAGTACGGATGTCTTGCAAAGGTACTGTTTTACAGATCTTTGTCTTTACTAGGACTGGACTTTGTCTCCCAAGCCAATCAGAGTCATTAATCAAAATAAGCATTTTATGTCCTTTCACAGTCATTTCTAACATTGGCTAAGATGCTATGCTAGAGAATCAGGACTGCCATTCCCTCACTTTCAAAGCACAGAGGAGACATTTTGAATGTTTTCATCAATAAATTTTTTACTAACAGCTTCAAAAATCAGCTTATTATTTGATTCTTTCACTTCCTCCTCTGCCTCACTAAGGTTAAAAGAGGGAAACTTGCTGAACATGAAAACACTGCCCTGAGGGAACACATGCTGCAGATTTTAGACAAGAACTCCCGGTTGGAAGAACAGGTAAGTCGTGTTTAATGATCACTCTTCAGTGGTTCTTGACTGGTTGGAGGATGATATGATACTCTACATTTGTTGCCTAGTTTAGCTCAGCTACACTTTAGAAGACTGTTTTTATGGTCTTCGCACACCTCAGAAGTCAGAATAAGCTTTTCTAGTGAAGTCAGTCAGTTCCATGGAAATCTCTCTGTGCTCAGGCGTGTATATTCTCCACCAGGCACAGTGGGAGGCTCGTTGCCATTGCTCACCTCATTTGCTTTTGGTCTCTATTTACAGCAGATATGAGGTTTGGAGATAAAGCATTTTAAATTTTCATTGACTGGTCAGGTTGCTCCAGAAAGGAGCCTTTACATGCCCAAGTCACTCACTCTGTATAGAGGCAGCACCAGAGCCAGTTGCAAGCACCTTTCTGCTCATGATCACTTCTGCAGCTTCCAGCAGGTGACGCTGGGTGTACGCCCAGTCTTACTAAGGTGAATGCATCCAAACTGATGGTGGACTTCCTCTTTGCTTGTTTATGCAAAAAACAGGTGTCCCAAAGCGCTATAACTTGGTTTTGAAGTTTGTATCCTTCGCTGACTCATCGCTTTTACTGGTTAGGCCTCAGTCGAGGGGAAAAAAATTTATATACATACACACAGAAGCACACATGCACACGTGTGCAAATAAGGATATATTATCCCACTATAGAGCTGAAGGGGATGGGGATGAGAGATATGAGCCTCTTTGCACCTGTAGCCACACAGATCTATTCGAGTCTGATTACCTTATGTTCAGTTCTTGCTAGTGCTTATCCACAAGCTGTGAATCTAGCTCAGTTAGAGGCTTTGTGTTGTAAACTTTTCCACTGCCACGTATGTTTTAATTTCTTTATTGTATATTTTGGTGTTCCTTAGTATTTATACTCCGCTTTTCCCATCTGTAGATATCTGACCTATATAAGAGCCTGGAATGTAAAGAGATTAAAATCCAGCAGCTGGCAGAGGCCATTAAAAAGTGTGAGAAAGAATTCAGGCAGTATACACAACTGTTTGGTAAAAATAGCAACTTGATGGTAAGCACACAGGTGAGACTTTGATTTTACCTTTTTTATCAATTGCTTTCTTACATTCTGACATGTTTATCCAGTACTAGTTATCATTAATAGCAGGGCAATAACAAATCTCCACAAGCCCTTTTTGCTTTTTTACACTATGGTATTGTCTTTTCATTTTAATCAGTAAAGATGTTTGGTTACCTGATGTGGGCAAAAAGCACTTTACAAATCCTTGTGGCCAGATGCCCATGGCAAATACATTGGTATAAATTTGGATAATTTAGTTGAGTGAAGTGATGCAGCGTGAATGGATCCAAATGAGGGATGGCTTCTCAATCCATAAATGTGCTGAATTAATCATGAAGGAGCATTTGAGGTAAATTCCTAAGCCAGCTGAGCACTTTCAATGCACTGTATAGATGATACTGCTGACATGCTAAAGACTTCATTATCTTAATTCAAAGAAAATGGCTGATTTTATGGATGTCTCTTGTACTTCTACTTCCCACGTTTTCTCAATGGCATGAACTGGGAAGGCTTTGGCCAGCCACCTGGATAAGTCTGCACGCCTGGAATCACAAGTGAAACAGCTAATACAGATGGCAAACCAGCAGCAGAGTAAATTAGACTTGCGGCCCCTGTTTGACACAATCGAAAATGTAAAACAGAAGATTGCTCTGATGGAGACATATGATCAGCGCTTGGGTATGTCAGCACTTTGGGTTCTTTTCTGTGGAGGGGGCAGTTTGCTGATTTGCTGGTAGCTAAGTAGAGGCTCTGGTGCTACAGTCAGTCAGTTGCAGCTCTTCGCTAGAAAGGGCTTCCTTCTTGCATTCTAAGACCAAACCGTGATGGTGTGAGCTGTGTTCTCCCGCCTTCCCCTAATGCACAATGTCTCCCGAATTCCTGTGGCACTGCAGGGCCAGAGCACTGGCCTTGGTCTGGCTGGTGCACTGTGATGAAGGCCATGGTGCTATCGATCTTCAGGCCTTCAATCTGGTTTGTAGTTACCAGTGTTTCTTACGCAACTACCAGCTGCAATTACAATTTTAAAAGTTAACAGCTGTAGTCACACTAGTTCATAGCCTGTACTCAGGCTTGGGTAGTTGGGTAGTTAAGTTTTGTCACCTTGAGTCTGGGTGCTCAGACAGTTTTATTTACGTTTCTCTCTCTCTCTTTTTTGTTTTGTTTTGTTTTTGGTTTGGTTTGGTTTTCCTGTTTCTTTTTTTGTTTCCCCTTCTCTCAGTTGTTTTGGAAGATCAGTCCAGCAAACATGATCTCCAGATCAATATTCACAAAGCACAGCTCAATAAAAATGAAGAACGATTTAAGCTTTTGGAAGGCACGTGCTACAATGGGAAATTAATCTGGAAAATCACAGACTACAAGATGAAAAAGAAAGAAGCGGTGGAAGGCCGTGTCCTCTCCATAGCCAGCCAGCCCTTTTACACCAGCCGCTGTGGGTACAGGTTGTGTGCGAGAGCCTACCTGAACGGGGATGGCTCAGGGAAGGGAACACACATCTCTCTCTACTTTGTAGTGATGAGGGGGGAATTTGACTCGCTGCTGCTGTGGCCTTTCAAGCAAAAAGTTACACTTATGCTTTTGGACCAAAGTGGGAAAAAAAATCACATTGTGGAAGTCTTTAGAGCCGACCCCAACAGCAGCAGTTTCAAAAGGCCAGATGGGGAAATGAATATCGCCTCCGGATGTCCCCGCTTCGTGCCGCACGCGGTCCTGGAGAACACAAAGAACACCTATATCAGAGATGACACTCTGTTTTTGAAAGTCGTCGTGGATTTAACTGATCTGGAGGAATTGTGAAAATTGTTCCCAATCAATGTGACTGCTTTAACCATTAAGAACTGCTTTCTTGGTGACTACCAGCCATGCAATAGTGAATTGCCACCAGTCAAGCTACTGAGAATGTTTCACAGCTTTTGGACTCATAAGAGATAATGAATTGCCAAAGTGTCAGCCTTTCCTTTTTTAACCCTTTTTTCAAGACTGCATTTTTAAGGCAGCTAGAAGTCCGGTTTGGTGCAAGCATGCATTCAATCCAGCTTGGCTCAGTCCAGGCTGGGGGGAATGCTTTTCTCCCATCACCAAACTGGTGCTTGGAGATGAAACTCCTCCAGTAACCTCCCTGGAGCCCAGGCAGGCCAGTGGGCTCCCATCCCTCACACAGCAGTGAAGCCATGCCCAAACGTGCAAGTGCATTTCACCTGCCTGCAATAGAAACATTTCAGCATTAGCAAATTTGAATCAATATGTCTTGGTCCCTCCATCTCCTGGATTTTTGAAGAGGGGAGAATGGCTTCAGTTAGGCAGGGAAACCATTTGCCAAGTATCTTGCATTTTTGTAATTTGTTTTAATTATGTTTTTCCAGAAAGCCCAGAGGAAGGCACCAATGCCTCTTACTTTTTTAGCCTGGTTTTTCAGCTATATAGAGTACGCCCAGGTCACAACAGCTTTCTTATGTCCTTTCCTTTCCTGCCTAGTGCCTTGGGACTGATTTCCATTAGTGGTAAACATCCACAGTCCCCATCTGAAGCCAAAAGCTGCAGGCACTTCTCACCTCTCAGGACATGGCCAGAGGCAGGGCACTCGGCCAGCCTGCCAGCTCTTGGCTGTGCTGTTGGAAGAGGGGCAAAACTCCTGTTCTTTTTCTTCCACATCTGTGCAAAATTGATGTTTTCTGGCCTACAAGCTTTATAAAAGGCAGGAAAAGCTTTGGATGTCTGCCTGGGAGAAAGCCCACGTAACATGCACTGTTCCTCTCTCCTAGAAATTTGGATGTTAGGGGAAGAAGGGGGAAAAGGGATTTGGGAGTGAGGTTGCAGTAGGAACCCAATTCTCACAGATAGTGCAGCTCTAGTGTTTGTTAAAGGGTGACACAGCCACCCTTTAACAACTTGTTCAGTTTGAAGAACTTCTTGTCTGAAGATTAAGATCTTCAGACAACACAGTCAGCAGTTGTTACAAAAGGGTAACAACTGCTGACTGTGTTGTCTGAAGATCTTAATTCTCATTCCAGGTTCCTTCCATACTGCAAGGGAATGTGTGCATTGTATGGGGTTTATTGGAGACCCACTAAAACTATCAAGATCAGGCACTGAGGAACAAGTGACACAGAATACACGTGCCTTTTTAAAGCCTTTTGGGTGCCTGTAACAGGGATGTAATTTTGCATTCTCAGCCATTTTGTTATTACAAGTGACAGAGTTTTGCATCTCTCATCTCTCACAGATCAGGTAGTGAAACACCACAGCATTATCCATTGCTCCAAAGCTTATCAAGAGACAGCAAGACAATAACCTGGATTTAGAGTAAGAGTAAACTAGGCAGGATAAAAATCAAAACGGGGCATGGACTGAAAGGTATAAGGCAGAAAATTCAAGAGGGCAAATGTGGCAAAATGAAAAATGCCCTCTCTGTGCGGGATGTTGATATCAACTAAAATAATTCAAGGTTTGGTACTAAGATGAAGGCAAAATACTGTATTTTGTATCAGCAATCTTATTGCTAGACATTTACTTTCCCACGTGGTTTTCAGGACGTAACTCAGACATATATATTTTCAAATTGGGGGGTGGAAGGGAAGAGACCTTAGTAATCTATACCTCATGGTGGGTTAGCACATCTGAAATCTTTGTTTTCATCTGGAAGTCCTTTTTGTTTTACAATGTCAGGACGTACTGAGCCACCATAGGGGCTTTCCGTGTTCCCAGAAACAGATGGCAAGGAACAAATTTTATTCTTTTGTACCACCATGATTGACTTCAAGAGTAATTTCAGCTGTACAGCATAAAGAATTAGGCCTCATGTCCCTAGCATTGTTACAGAAAGAGAAAGCTTGGTTTGACAGTGGTGTGGCATTCTGTGTCATCAACCCTGAGCCTCAGATGTGGATTTCATGTTGATTATTACTTCAGTATTTGTCACATAACTTTCAAAGTGACACAACTTGCATAATAACCACTAGTAACTGATGGAAATGTACCAACCGTGTGTCCTGGGACTCCTCAGTACTTTGAGTATAAAATACAGAAAATGATAAAGAACTTGGACAAGCAAGGGAGGCAAGATGGAAAGGATGTGGTCTGTATCCTGGCAAATACCCAGCCCTCTCCACCTCCACCACCCCAAGCATAAAATGGGGATAATAATACTTGCAGAAATGTTAGAGCTATTTAAATGTTTGTGAAGAAGTTTGAGCATGAAGAGAGCTAAGTATTATTAAAACTCCATTTCTAATTGTTAGAGTAGGCGATGGCATAGTGATGTGGATAAGTGTTTAGTATTTTCCTAGACAGATTTTGAAATCATGTTTGGTTTTAGCCAGTTTGTACTGCAGTCTCTCCTCTACCTACTGGTTGGGTTTAGGTTTTTGCCACGAATATTCCTCTTAAAATTTTGAAGCACAAATGATTCATCCTGGGTGTTGGAAACATCCCTTTTGACATACTGCCTGTTTTATAAAGAATTAGTTGAGAAAATTGGTTTTTTTAAAAGGCAAGACCTTCTTTAATTTTTTTTTTTTTATTACAGTAATTGAGAGATTTATGTTGAAATTTTCAGTGATTTTTTTACTACTTGTAAACAGGATTTTAAACTTCACCCCATTCCTAATAAAGAAAAAAATATGTTGTATAGCATGAATTGTCAGGAAGAATTTTGATGTTGCATGAAAAAAATACCAAAAACCTTTTCAATAATATTGTACTGGATAAGTAACCAAAAGAGCTTAAGGTATTTCTACATCAGCATATAGTATGTTTCTAACATATTTATTGACAGTTTGTAGTTGTTTGAATATCTCTTACTACAATGCAGGCATTTTTCTAGCCAAATGTCTTCACTGTGTACATAAACTAATGTAAGAATAAATAATTTTACCATCCTTCTGGAGTCAGTGTGGCCTAATACTCATTTTGGCTGCATTTAAGGAGATTTTTACAAGGATGCAGAGTACTGGATATTTGTTTATAACGATGATGATGATAATAACCAACAAGCAAAAACACCTCTTTAGATTAAGAATCAATGTATTTCATAGATATTTTTGTTTACGCTTGAATATCGTAAAGCAGCTGCACATAGAAGTTCAGTAAATTCTAAGCTAGACCAGACGAATATCCACAAGGTCTGAGGACCCACTGGAATCAGAACGGGATATTACTTCTGTTTGGAGCCGCTTTGGGCTCAGCAGGGGTTGGATTTGTTTCATTTCGGACCAGAATCAGGAACTGTTCCAGTATCCCGTGATTGCTTTGTGTCTGGGGACATGGTATTTTAAAACGGGGGACGCAAAACTGGTCAGGGTGAAGCCCAGAGCGTTGGAAATGTGCTCGGTACCTGTGTCACCGCCGACCCCGCTGCCGTGTGAGGGGCAGGAAGCGGCGGCGGCGGCTCCAGCCCTTCCGGGTCGGCGGGCGGGCCCGGGCCGAGCGCGGAGAGGGGAGGCAGAGCGGGAGCGGCGCCGTCCCCATCCCGGGTGGGTCGGGCAGGGGGGATCGGAGCCCACGGGGGACAGGCGGCCTGGGCGCGGGGCCCCCTGGCAGCCGCGGGCGGTGCGCGGCCCCGGGGCTCCCTGCGCGGCCCGGTCCCGTGATCCAGCGACAGCCTGACACGGAGGGGATGTGGGGAAAAACCCCCTTTGCGTCCGCACTGGCGGTGGCACGAAAACAAGGGGGTTGGCCTCCGGTTCCCGATGCGGGAGGACGCGGCCGAAGGCGCGGCCCCCCCAGTGCGGTGCAGTGTGAGGGCAGGGTGACGTGGTCCTGTGCCTTTGCTCTGGGATGACCCTGCTTGGGCCGGGAGGTTGGACCGGGAGACCCACTGTGGTCCCTTCCAACCAAACCCGTTCTGTGATTCTGTGGGGCTGCCCTCAGGCGTGTTCGCAGGTTTCCTCGGTTTCCGCACTGCCTTTTTTTTTTTTTTTTTTTTTTTCCATTTCCAAAATCTTTTGGAAATTATGTTATTGAATGTACTTTTGCCTCTTGACTAGATATGGATAACAGCAAGGATGAAAAAAGTAGGACGCTGTGTGCAACTTCAGAAGAAGGGCTGAAGGTCCGAGGTAGGCTCTGCTGGTCTGTTGCCCTGCTCTGGTGTTAGGGTTGTGATGCTCTGTGTCAGTCACCGAGTTGGACCCCGATACTGGGCATGGCCACTTGCTAATGGTAATTAGCAACCGTGTAATTAGTAACCGTGGCACATGGGGGCTCACTGTGTTTAAGTTCTGCGAAGAGTCGTTTTTGTAGACCATAGTTACTAGCGTGCTTGTCACTGTTACCTTGTGTTGTCCTAAGGAAAAGAAAAAAGGAAACGAAAACGCAGTAGAAGCAGATCATCATCTGTTTCATCCACATCGTCTTCTAGCAGCACATCCACTTCTTCCTCTTCATCACGCTCTTCATCAAGATCATCTTCTTCGAGTAGTAGAGGTAAGCTACCTCCACATGTGCACATGATGTTTGCCAGTTTTGATAGTACTCCTGGAAACATTTAGAGCTTGTTTTAAATGTGGCTAAACCACCAAAAAGTGATGGTGCAGAATACCAATGTTGTGTGTTCAGTGTTTTTCTCATAACCTTTTCCTATTGCTGTGTTAAGGTGTCTCTTTGTAGACAGTTTGCAATGTTCTTTTGTTAGTTTAAGTAACTTAAAAATAAAAAACTGCCATTTAAAAAAATGTTACTTTGTAACGATATGTTGTGTTTATTTAAACTCCTTTAATCGTTACACTTTCAAAATACAGATCTTTTTCTACTTCACCAGTCTATTTAGACCTGAGTTGGGGTTTTTTATTCAGTCCTGCTTTGGTCTTAACATTTCAAGCATTTACCTTTGAGGACTCACATAAAGTTGGCATGTCTGCAGAATCAGTAAATCTGGTATTTTCAATTTCCATGTTAGACCAGTAAGAGGCAGTCAGTTAATGTGTTGCTTTCCTCTGAGTTAGTTTCAACCAGTGTCAATGTATGTAACTAAATTAAAGCATTTTCTTTTTAGGTTTCACATTTCTGTATGCCTTATCCATAAAACCAAGTGCCTTTTTCAAGAATTCTAAACTTAGAGGATTTGATTTTGTTGTTTGTTTTTCCTTAACTTTAGATTTTCCTAAGTCTAAATCAAAGAAAAAGAAAAAAGAAAAACACAACAAAAAGGTAAACATTTTACAAAGAGAAATAGGGAGTTTACAAACAGTAACCTTAAAGGTCATGTGAGACATAATGCTGTTGTCTGTGGCTCTGTAAATCTGAATCATGCTTTTAGGGTTACGGTAGCTGAACTGATAGGTTGGCATTTAATTGACTGTATACAAAAAAGGAAATAATTTAGAAGTTGCTTTTGCCAGTCATTGCTGGTCCAGCTAGCATTCAGAGCAGTCTCTGAAGAAAAGAGTAGTGGGGAATCTTGATAACTGTATAGAATTTGTGAGAAGAACTGATTTTAGTCAGTGAGAGAAGCAGGTAGTAGATTCTTGCTGTAGTAATTTTTCTATTTTATTGGGACCTTCTGTTCAGTGATTTTGTGTATTGGGGTTAAACGAGGACAACATTAAATGGGAGAGAACAGGGAATCAGACCATTTCTGTTTCTCAGGGTCCCAAGGGTTGCTAACCCTGCTGTGTTACTTTCTGTATTTCAGCTACTACCTGTCTGGCAGTGGTAAGGGCAAACAGAAGGGATGTCTTGACTAGTCAGGGCCTTGAGATATACTTGTGGATTTGGTTTATTTTACCCTTTTGAGTCTGTAAGCCTAAGAATATGTCTTATTCTTGTAGAAAAGGAAAAAAGAGAACAAAATGAAGAAAAAGAAAGAAAAGAAGAAAAAGAGAGAGAAAACAGGACCTGTCCAGCTTTCCAAGGTATGCTTGTGTGAATCTGAAGCCCCATTACATTTTTCATCTAAATACTTAATCTGTCCTGTAATAAAAATGTGTATAACATCACCAGTTTTATCATAAACAAATAGAAATCTGTCTGTATTGTTTTGAACAGTTAGGAAGTATAAAAGATTATCATCTGTAATTTTACTTGTGATTTGTAACATTACAAAATAAACCAAAGCTTTTTTAATATGTGATCTCATTTTAGTTCTTTAAAAACAAAAAGAAGAATGAAAACTACAGCATGATAACCGGAAAGAAAATTAAGATGAAAATTAAGAAGACTAAGGAAGATATAGAGGTAAGAGTTAAAATAGTCTATATATTCCTAAGAGAAGATACTGTATCTTTTAATATTTTTGCAATAGTACTGTCTTTTGTAGAAGAGTCGGTCTTGCACTTAGGGGTTGTAAATTGAGTGTAGCTTTTAGTGTGGCTATGGTGCCATCTGAGACATTTTAATTCATTCTTTTGGCAGGTTTTGTGTTATGAGTGGGCTTGGAATACTCAGGCATGAGTAGATAAACTAAAGGGTGCTGGTGCAGGTTCTTAGAATTTCAGTCTCTAATGGTTAGCTGATTCATAGCTTTCTCTGTTGATATAATTTACTGGTTTTAATTGTACTCATCTTCTTTCAGTCTCTTGTGATCAGTTGTGGTAATTGCTGCTTTACTGTGTTTTTCTAACACATGCAAAACTAGCCATTATTTAGAGAGGAATTAAAAAAAAAGACAACAGTAGTATTAGGACCACGTGGCCATGCGTTCTCTCAGAGCAGTCAAATGTTTTTGCTGAGATACCCAGGGAAATTGATACAATGAGTAGTGTTTTGTGCTATTGCTATGAGTGTTTGGACTCAGCACTTATTTAATAAGTTCACCCTTTTCAACAATTTCCACACCTTAGAGTGGCCTGCAGAGGGCTCTGGTACTAGTCAGTACGTGTTAGAAGTGCTACTTCGTTGAGGTATATCCAGCTTGGCAGATTCTGGTTCAGCCATAACAATTCATTCTATAGCTACTGAAGCAGATATGAGCATTCATAAAGTTAAATTTGATCTAAAATGCATCTTCTTTCTGGGGCACTGCAGTTTGTGCTAAATTATGCTTGTCAATTCTGTCGTAGTAACCTGCTCATTACAGTATTTAACATCAAATATTTGATATTGGTCCTTTTTTGATTGGTTCCTGTGGTCTTGCTGAATTGAACAGCATCCATTCTTTACAGTATTTAAAGATGCGATTTTTTTATAAAAAACACTGAAACAAGTGTTTTGACTGCTTGAGCCATCTCTTAAGTGGAGAAAGAACCTAAATTCAATGTTCTGTTATGCTGCAAGCTGCTGGTTTTGCACAGAAAAAACAATTATACTTCCCAAAGCACAAGACTTGCTGTGTGTACAGTGAAAGTCGCCTCAGACACCAGAGAATAGCTTGTTCCGCTTGTGAGTTCCCTCCTGAGCAGACCGTGAGCTACATGATTACAGCCCAATGGAGCCTCTGCAGGGAGCCACTTAGAACATGTATCATGCAATAGTGACAGTGACAGCTTGTCTCCGAGGGCATCTGTCCCCAGGACCCACTGCCTGGTGTTTCCCCCGGGCACTCACACCCAGCTGATAGCTAGTTAGATCCAGCTGTGTGAATGTGGATGTGAAAGCCCTACAGAAAACAGGGATCTACAGCCTTGCTCCACTGAGTCTGTTCAACTGTTCAGCTGCTGCCTCTGCTTCTCTGCTCTACAGAGAGACCGGAACCGTGCGCAGCTCCTGGAATTTCTGAACTCTGCCTTGTAACGGGAAGAGTGCTGGCCAAGGACTTGGAGATACACCAAGTCAATGATCATCATGCCTAGCAAAACACTAAAGGGAAACTCAGGGAAAAGGATGCCAAGTTCGACAAGACCAGACCCTCCTGCTGAGAAGACAATCGGGATGTCCTTTTTTAATGGCAAAATGAAGAGTAGCTAATAACTTGCTAATGAAGATCCATGTCCTCCTTTTGAGATCCTAAGGTAATAGCCAGGCTGTGGTGTTTTAGAAAAGCCCAGGAGTGTGTCATTGACAATGATAAGAAATGACACACTGAAGTCAAATAATGTAATTTCTATCCTAACTGCATGCAGAATGCACTGTTAATTTCAAATGTCTTAATTTTTCTAGTAGTTTAACCAGAGTATTTGTAAATGTCTGTTTGAAAGATGAGGTGTTTCTTATATGTATATTTTTTTTCTGGTAGTGGTTATACTTGTCCTAAAGAGCAAAATGACCTCTGTAAATAGAACATGCTTTTACATAAATGATTTTTTTGAAAGTTCACTAACTAATATATTACTTTCTTTCAGAGTTTGAGATAGGATCTTTCTCTGACAGTTTATTGCTCTCTCTCACTAGAAAATGTAAAAGCAAAATACTCTAGAGCAATAACAGTAGCAAATGATTTGTATCCTAAAATAGAAGCAGAAAAGGTCTCTGATTTTGTTTGTTTATCTCAATCAGCTGTTCAAAGGCAGCTCACAATAAATAGTTTACCCCCCCCCATCTGGAGTTGCAGTTCCTAGACCTAAAAACTCTGGAGTTCTGGCCTGCCTTTCTGATCCTTTGAGTTGTGTATCAAATCTTTCTCTCTCTGAAGTGAAGCAAGACACACACCACATACCTTACCCTAATGGAGAAAGAGCTGCAGGAATAAATCAGAGGCAGGCAGTGCCAGTGACTCTCTGGATATGTTGACAGTCCGCTGTGAGATGAGACAGGTATGGATATGCAGCTGGAGCCCAGCATAACTTGTGTGTTAGCTGTGGTAGTTTGCTCAGTGTTTGTGCTCTTCCTTCCTTCCAGAGCTTGACTTTGGATTAGCCAGCAGGCCCCTGTGTACATAACCCTGATATGGGAGTCCCACTTGAATCGCTCCCGAAGCCAGTGCTTCCCAGGAACTACCGTTTAGGAATGCCTGAAAAAAAGGTGTCAGGGGTAGTTGACTTTGACAAGAGCATCAGGTCTACAGCAGTCAGAGTGTGGGGAGTTCATTAAAGAGCAAGTGGAAAACTCCTTGCATCTGTGTCTCCTACAATGTTTTGAAGTAAACCTAAAGATCTGTACCATTGCTCAAGGGATAATTTTATAACTGTTTTGATGTGTGAAACCTTCTGAAGATGCTAGAATCCTGTCTTTTCCCTAGTTTACTTTTATTGTGAAGCATTTTATAGTTGTTGCAGAGATGTAATTCTTTAGAGCTTAAAGCCCTGATCAGGAAAAGCAAGCCTTTACATCCTTATCGACATAAAACTTGGAAAAACATAGGTAAGAACTGGAATTTCCTTGACTTCTAATCTGGCAATGGAAGCCTTTTTTGGAAGTACTGCTCTGAAACGTCAGTAGGGGGAAAAACAAACAAGAAACCCCCTTTTTTTTTCGTGAGGATAATGCTTTGATTTATGCTACTTTGGTATCTTCTAGCTAGTGATGTCAAAGGATCTTGCCCAGATAAGCAGCTTTTTTTCTCTGGTCTTTGCGTAACAAGGTTAATCCCAAACACTCTCCTAGAAGACACTAAAATCCTTCCAATTCCTTAGGTTTTATTTTATATAAAGATAGTATAATTTCTGAAAATTTGTCAGGGTGGGGAGGGAGTAGAAATTTGGAAGATGGAAAGCACATAGGAATGGGAAACGCGGAGATCACACTTGTAAAGAACTGCATTGGTTCGAAGGTTCAGACTTAAGTGAAATAATTCGCTTTTTGGTGCCTTCGTCAAGATTGTAAAAACTCCTTCCCTGTTCCATATTAGTATGGAAAAGGCAAAGAGCCTTTAGAAATATGATGTGGTCTGTTCCCCTTTTAGGGTTTTGGTAGTTGCTGACTCTAATGATGCAAAAACAAGTCAAACCGCTTTTTCTTAAAAAACAAACAAATCCTTTTTCTCTTTCTTGGTGTTTCAGGACAGGAATTTTTCCTGCTCAGTTCTGACATGCTGGATATGCTTTAGTGATGCTTTAAAATATTCTATGCCAGCATTTATTTCTAAGGAATCATTTCTTTTAGAGAGCCAAGCTGCTTAAGCTCTGTGGCAGTGATTCAGTTTTATTCTCTCCTCCCCAGTCACTTACTGGTGGTGTCTGAAACTTCCCAGCAGTTGCTGCTTTTATAAACCTCCTTTTCTTTCCTACCCATCTCCATGCAAATTCTCAGGTTTCTAAAGTGATTTGAGTAATGTTGCATCCTTTTTTTCTCTGTCTTTCCCCACAAGCATTGAAATCACATGCTTCTTGGGACTGAGTATCTTTGAGACTCCTGTTTGGAGCTGGCCAGCAGATTCCAGTCCTCCCTAGTGAGCACAGGCCCTTACAGCCAGAATAATTGTCCATGCTTTGCTGCCTCAGGAAAGAAGTTAATTTTGTTGATTTTTTCACTAAAGCATAGCTTCTTAATACTGCTTCAAATCACTATTGTGGCAGCTGAACCACAGACTGAACCAGATGTGAGGGTTAAACAGTAAGATTGTGGTGAACATCAGGTTGAGAAATTTGTATGAGGGAACTGTGAAGTGACATGGAATGTCAACCTGATGGGCAAGGGGCTGATAGAGAGACTTGCTACCAGGTCTCAAAAAGGTGCGTACTGTGGGTGAAGATGCAGGCTGGAGCAATAGAGCAATAGGAAAGGTATGAGATAGGGATGGAGGGAGACTGCTACTGTCAGAAGTCATGGTGTGGGGCCAAGGTCAGGTGATAAGGGGCTGCAGAAGCTTACCTTGCTGGGCAAGTTGAGATTCTTCCTAAAATGATGAATAATTGATGAAAAACTACCTTGTGTGTGTGTGTGTGTGACAGTCTTCGCTATCACACTCAACTTTCTGTGTCCCTGTACCATTTTCCATTCTGGGAGTCAGAACAGCTGAATTTTTCTGACAACAGAAATTCCAGAAACAGAAGACACTGTGATTCTTTGTTACTCGTTTCCTTTATGGTTTGCTTGAAATTCACTCTTTTGCCCACACAAAAATGTAGAAGAGATGAAGCTGAGGAAATGTGTATAAATGCCACTTTGTCTTGAAAGAATCTGGCTCCATGGAACTAAGGTGTATCATCCTGCAGAACTGAGATGGATCTGCAATTGTGGTAACTCTTCATTATTTAGTATGATTAAACTTGGGCAAGTTGTGCTGTTTTGAGGTACCTGGGTGTTTCATGCTGCAGGAATGTATGAGCTTCCCAGTCATCCTCTGTAGCAGGAAAATCTGAGCGAGCTCTATACAGAGGGGAAGAGCAGAGGTCAGAGAGGCTAAGTGGCTTGTCCTGGGATCACCTGCCAAACCTGCCCTGGTGTGGCATGGGCCCTGACAGCTGAATGGAGCTCTGATGTCCTTTGATGTGTAAAACTCATGATCTTTGCTGTGCATATTTAGTCTCCACGGTTCCAGTTCAGCTCTCAAGGTGGGGAGCTCCACTGTGATTTGAGGACTCCATGAAATGGCTGAACTTTACAGGGTATTGGGTTCTTCTGAAGGAATGAGGTCTTGGGCACACCTGGGAACCCTCCAGCCTGCTACTTGGTTGTACTTGAAGCTGCAGGGGGATGAGCTTTTGAGGAGCTGCTGCTTAAAATTACTGGCAAGCACCCAGCCACCTAGTTCCATCTGTGGACAAAATTAATCATCAAAATTACTGTCCAAAGCACAGATCGTGATGTATTTGGCTGTTGACAACAGGGGTTATTTTCCTGCCTGTTCATTTTGGTCTTAAATTATGATTCCCAAGGAGTATGACACATCTAGTGTTGTCTGAGGGACAAGCAGGACATGGTGCTGAGGGGTCTACGAAGGCATGTTTTGAGGCCTTTCAACCAGCATGAAGAACACATTAATATCCAGTCTGAGAGGCACAATGTTTAAGATGACAGCTGTTCCCATACCGGCACGCTGACCTCTCCAGTGAGGCACTAAACACCAGGGCTAACACTAGTTGTGTTCATTTTGCTCTCCGCTCGCGCGCTGCTCTCTGGGTGACAGCGGTGTGAGACAGCAGTAGTGCCAGAGTGAGGAATTTCTCAGGAGAGGCCTGGTTAGAAAGCAGCTGCCTATTCCCTGGTTAGTCGGTGGTAGGATATCTGCCAGTAGGTGGCATTGCTGCCCAGCTGGAATGTTACGGAAAATCTATTTTGTTTTTACCTTTGGACGTTGGCTTTGCACTTTCTTATTCTGAAACCCTTTAATTAGCCTGCAAATACCTAATTATGCTTGTTTATGGGGAACATTTGTTACTGCTGTCCTATGAATTTAATCCAGTCTTTGTTCATTTCTTGCCCTTGGCTGTGCTGAGGACAGACAATAAACTCTTCTGCTGGTGCTTGCGTGCCAAAGGCAGAAGGAAGCCTTTAACTTCTCGGTAGCTGAATGCAACAGGAGCGAGTTATGGAGAGCCAGTAGGGACCTGGAAGGACCAGGTGTTCTTGCACCACCCTGCCTGGGGCTGCTGAGTTCTTCAGAAATTGCACCTGGCTCTTCTCCATCTCTTAAATACCAGTGCCAGAATATAGATTTTGACTGAAATAGAAAGCTAAGATGCTATGATCTGGTTATCTAGCCAGGACGCTAAAAATTCATAATTTTATGAAGTATACAGTGTACACAGATAACTGTAAATCACCACATAATCCACTGAGCTTCTTGTATCCCTTTTCCTCACCTTTCTCTTGTGTTTTTAAGCTCTCATCCTGTGAGGATTTTCCCTTAATCTGAGAATATCTTTGTGCACAACTGCACAGGAAGTACATAGTAGTCATTGGGAGACCTGGGCCCAAGACCCAGCATTCAAGGCCAGCATAGTATCTTCCTGATGTAAACCAGCTCAAAACATGGTTTCTCTGATTATGCAAAGAGAACAAGAGGTCCTTGTGCCAACAGCCCACAGCACAGATGGCAGTACCAGGGAAAGGCAGGCACCAAGATTATGATGTCTCTGTCTGTCACAGGTGGGTAGAACTGAGGGAGGCCTAATAGCCCTTCCTCTGTGGCAGGGCACAACCAAAAAGGCTGTGACTGTGCTTCTCAGAATGCTTTTTGGGCAAAACTACAGTGCCATGTCCTTCGTCAGAGAGGTATAGCAGAACACAGGAATATCAGAATGACCATCCAGTCAACCTGTCTGTAGTTTTCCTTCTGAGAGAGGCCTATAGCAATGTTTGGGGGAAGTAGTGTAAGCAACAACACAGATTTGCTTGTCCACAGCTTCTGTCAAGGAGTAGCTTAAGCCCTGTGCTATAGGCTGCATCTAAACCACTGTGGTTTACTAACCCTCTGTACTCACACAGTCCCCTTTTGGAACCACTCATCTATCTGATCACCAGAGTGTGCCAAGCAATGCAATCCATGCTTCAGTAATACTTTGTGTGGGGAAAAAAAAATTCCCCTTTGTTAAGGGGATACATGCATACTTTGCATGTATGATGCTTAGCAGAGGGAGTCCTGAGTCATCTGGGACCATCTGATGATATTAAGGTGTTCTAGTACCCAGGATCAGGTATGGAATCAATGGAGTGAC